AACTAACCTCCAGGGTTTGAGAGCAGGGAATGTCCTGAGCATGTGTACAAATTAGACAAGGCTCTCTATGGACTCAAGCAGGCTCCTAGAGCATGGTATGAACGACTGTCCAAATTTCTGCTTGAACATGGTTACAAAAGAGGTAAAATTGACAGTACCCTATTCTTCAGGGAAAAAGGTAAGGATCTCTTTGTGGTACAAATATATGTTGATGACATAATTTTTGGGGCTACCACTCATAAACTAAGTAAGGATTTTGCCAAACTAATGGGGAGTGAGTTTGAAATGAGTATGATTGGTGATTTTAATTTTTTCTTAGGCTTACAGATCAAACAAAACCCAAATGGAACCATGATACATCAGCAGAAGTATGCAAAGGAACTGATCAAAAAGTTTAAAATGGATGAATCAAAGGAAATAGACACCCCCATTGCAACTGCCACTAAATTAGATATAGATGAACCTGGTTCATCAGTTGATCAGAAGTTGTATAGGGGTATGATTGGTCCACTTTTGTATCTTACTGCCAGCAGACCTGACATAGTCTTCAGTGTAGGGCTTTGTGCTCGCTTCCAGGAAAATCCAAAGGAGTCTCACTTGACTGCTGTCAAGAGGATACTGAGATATTTGAAAGGCACTACTGATCTGTGTCTTTGGTACCCTAAAGGTAGTAATTTCAATCTAGTAGGGTATGCTGATTATGCAGGTTTTCTTGTGGATAGGAAAATCACCTCAGGTATGGCTCATTTTCTTGGTTCATGTCTTGTATCACGGGCCACTAAAAAGCAAAATTCAGTGGCCTTATCCACTGTTGAGGCTGAATATGTTGTTGCTGCCTCTTGTTGTGCTCAATTGCTATGTATTAAACACTAGTTTATTTAATTTTTAAAGTGTATATAATTGGTAAATTGTATAAGGGTTTTGACACAGTTACCCACAAAAATAAAACTATTTACCCTTGTCTACCCATTTGTTTTTTTACCCATAAACTAATTACATTTCCTACCCATAGTAGTTTTTGTGGGGAATTGTTTCTTTATTCTCCTTTTCTTTTTTCTCGTTTTCTTCTTATTTTTTTCTTTTTTCCTTTTCTAATTTCATTTAACTTCTTTTTTTTTATATTCTTTTTCTCTTCATAATCTAGTTTCATTTACTGTTTTCACTATTTTTTATTTTTCCTTTTTTATATTATCACTAAAGAAAAATCAAATTGTGTACCAATTAAATGTAGCTAATACAATAAAAAAATATTAACTAACATATGAAACCAGTATAGTATATATCTATACCAACAGGGTATACAATTGTACGCAAAGAGTTAAAAAATTTAATTCAATTATTAAACTGAAATAATATCAGTTGTAAATAAAATTTTCAAAAATTCTAAAAGGATCTAATTGTAAGAGTATACCGTTACATTATATATATATATATATATATATATATATATATATATATATATATATATATATATATATNAGTTGGAAATTACATGATAGACTAAAGTTCCAAATGAGTACACACAAAACCTAACTTTGGACGAGCATGCCTTTATATATATATATATATATATATATATATATATATATATATATATATATATACATACATATGTATGTATGTATATATTTGCATTTTTAATTTGCCCCTCACGCTAGGTAAAAGCTTAAAGTAAATTAAAAGGGAAAAAGCAAGTGAATTTACGGGTAATAAGTATACTATTATAGTATATTGTATACTATTACAGCATTCTGTTACAGTGTATTGCATATTATTACAGTATACTATAATAATATATTGTATGCAGTGTAACTATATACTCCTATAGTATATTGTATACTGTAGCGGTATGCTGTTAGGTTGTGTTCTTTTGCGTTTATTACAATATACGGTTGCAGTATATTGTAAACTATAATAGCATACTGTTGCAGTATAGCTATATAATCCTACAACATATTGTATACCGTAGCAGTATACTATTGGGTAACTGTGTTCTTCTTCGATTTTCAGCTGAAAATTTCGATCTCAATCACCTCAAATCAGCTCCAAATGCTATCAAATTTCAGTATGAACTTCCAGAACGTATTATAAGCAATATTTAACAGCACCCACTTTGAATAAAACAAAAAATCTTCAAAATAAAATTTGTAAGCCAAGGCAAGAGTAAGAGCTATGGGAAGAACAATCAAGAAAAAGTGGAGCAGAATTAAAACTAGCCAGAGGTCAACTTCTCAGATAATCAGATCTAATTTCTTTTTGAAGAAATAAGAGAAATGGAAGAACAATTTTGTAAGAACAAATTACAAGTAACTCAAGAAGTAGCAAACAAGAAAATAATTCAAGGATCTGGAGTTACTAAAATTAAGACCAAGCCTTCTTTTTCTTTTTGGGTCACTTTCATTCTCACTCTACAAAACCCAAACTACCCAAAAATAATAATTCCTCAATTTTGATGAGAATATTTCAAGAGATCATATGGGTAATACTTTTTTAGCAAAAATTTTGGTATTTCGTTATTGGTTTTCTGAATTTTTTGAGGTGATGACTGTTGGATCTAGTAAAAAGGAGAAGATGGTGTTTGAATATGTAGAAGAAACTAAAGAGATAAGGCTGAAAAATACATAAGGGGTTTCAGAGAAAAAGGAAAATAACATGCATTGGGGAATTGCTGATATCAAGAAGAAAGAGAGAAGAGAAGAGGAGAGGTCGCACTCTTTCTGATTTTTCTCAGCTATTTTAATAGAATAAATGAATAATCGGGTAAATAGTTTGGGCCGCACGGGTAGGAATAGTAAATAGTTTGGGCCTGGGCATTAAAGGATAAATAGTTTGGAATTAATGGGTATAAAGTGAGATTTTCTCAATTGTATATGCTTATGTAATTAAATTGAAACTTGAATAGAGAGGGTAGTAATAAAGTTTCAAATAGTGTATATGAGTTAAAATAGCACAGTCTAGCCAGTTTTCGGACTGGTCATTCAAAAATAGCCAGCATTTGCCAAGTCATTGAAAATAATCACTATTTTGCTGCAACAAAGACCGGTCCAGCATAATATACTGGAGTTTGGTGCACCTGTGTATGAACTTCCAGCATATTATGCTGGACCGGTATACTTTGTTGGCTCCAGTATAATATACTGGAAACTGGAGCACCGATGCTCCAAACTCCAGTATATTATGCTGGAGTATTTTTTCGAATTTTGAACAGTATTTTCATTCAGATTTATCTTTACATGAAAAGTGGCTAAATATCAATTACTTTTGAAACTGTGGCTATTTTTGAATGACCACTTGTAATTCTGGCTATTTTTGAATTTTTGCCTGTATATAAAGGTAAAAGGGATTTTTTCCTAATTATACCATATTTGAAACCTTATTACCAAAAATGTGCATAGTTTGTATATTACCCGCCCAGTCCACACTTTAACTACAATTTATATACCAATCATTTATTAGGCAGAATCTGCCATTTATTGCGCGCGAAAAATCAGCCACAAAATCTGGGATTGATTTATTCCAAATTAAATTCAAAATTTGAAACGTAAAGGAGATCTGGAAGCTGCGTAATTTTGAAACGGAAAGGAGATTTCTGTTCTTCAACTTCATCTTCATCTGTTCTTCCATATATTTTTCACCATTGATAGCCATTAAAAAGCTTGAAAGCTTTGAATTCAAATTTGGGTTTTCATAAATCATTATTTGTTTGGATTGGGTGTTGTTGAAAATAATCGGAAATATGATTTGGAGTTTATATCTCAATTTTGAGGAGTTTTTTGAAGATTAGACTTGGTTTTGACTGAATTTCAGTTTGAAAGTCGAAGAAGAAGAAGACATATTTCCAGAAATTGTAGATAAATTGTAAAATTGTAGATAAATTGTAGATCGGGAAGACTAAAACTTCTACAAATCTTCAACAATTATGTCAAAAATCCCAATTAAACTACAATCGAATGGGAATTGGGATATTAAAATTTAATATACCCAGATTGTAGATATTTTGTAGATGAATTGTAGATTATTTGTATTCTAATTGTAGATGCATTGTTTTCTGTAGATGAATTGTAGATTAATGGGGCCATCGGGTATAATCACAGCAGCAGCAACAGAATCCTTGGAAACTTACAACCGTGACCAATGTAGAAGAATTGAAGCTAGTGATCAACACCACTCCCATTTGGCTAACCACTATACCATTTGGTATTTGTGTAGCACAAGCAGCAACATTTTCATCAAACAAGGCGTGCAACTGAACCGGAAAATCATTCACAATTTTGAGATTCCCCCTGCTTCAATTTTTCTTAGCAGCTGTTGGCATGATAATGTCTGTCACTATCTATGAGAAAATCCTCGTACCTGTCCTAAGACGGGCAACAGGAAACGAAAGAGGCATTAGTATTCTCCAAAGGATCGGTATTGGAATGATCTTCTCTGTTTCTACTATGATCGTTGCAGCTCTAGTCGAAAGAAAAAGATTGAATATTGTTCATAAAAATCCACTCGAGGGTTCAGCTTCAATGAGTGTATTCTGGTTAGCCTAATATAAATTCAGATTTTGAATTTGTATTTTAGTTGAGATGAAAGGAAAGAGAAAGTGGGAATATACGGTCCTATAATTATGCCTAATATAAATGCACCCTTAATTATATCCCTGATTTGAATTATGGTATATAAATGGTAATTTGGTATGCTGAAACGTAATTAACTCAAATCTTAAACATTGAGGGTAATAAGGTTTCACATGTGGTATAGGAAGGTAAAGGTAAAAATCCCTACTAAAAAGCCTCTGGTATTATGCAGCCCAAAGATTACTTTTTAATTCATTTATTAATTGTTTTATTTTTTTATTTTATTTTTATGCAGCCCAAAGATTTGTTTTCAAATAAAGTCTCCGCCCAGGAGTTACAAAATAAAGAAACAAATAAATATAAAATCTTAAAATGAGCCGTTTCCATTCATTTTCGGCGATGAATTCGACCGTTAGAAGCCAGATATCCGTTGGCAACAAAAGTCAAGACACCTTTTTTCTTTCCTTGTATACTTGTGCTTCATGTAGAAACTCAACAACCACCCCCCCATCCCCCAACAAAACACACTAGTTTGAGGAGCGTAGAGAAAGAAGAGACCCACACTTCTCTAGAGCGTAGTGAAAGGGAAAATGGTAGCAAGAAGCCCACCAAAGTTGCAGCTCTACAAGAAAATGGTGTTGCCTCCTCCTCTTAACCCCATTCTTCTTAGAGAAACTCTTAACAAGGTTGGTGGTGCCCTTCATCATTACAAGCAAGAACAAAAAAATAACTTTTTCTTCTTTAATTTGACTTGTTTCCCCATTCCTCTCCACATCAATGACGCTCCTCCTCTTCGTTTAATCTTTTTTTACTTGTTACGGAAAAGTATCAGCGCTGGGTATTTCTTACTTTTATGAATTGGGAAAATGCCACTGCTTTAAAAATAATAGCCGAAAAAGTGTACAAAATTTGCATATTTTTTGTATATATTTATAAAATTTTTATACACTTTTGATGTAACTAGTTTCTGGCGCTAGATAACACCCCTTCTTTTTGGCTGAGTTATAAGAGCTCAATTCTGTCAACCGGGGATCTTTTGAAGTCCCTGATAGTAAGATCATTTGATTTCAGAACTGAATTCTGAGAAATGAGTTCTCTTTTGTATCTGAGTTTTTTTTTTTTTTTGGGTGGAGGAATGGGTCTTTCTTTTGGAAAGTTCAATTGGATGTATTAATAATTTCTTCAATGTAGTGTAATTTTATGGTGTCTCTGATACTAAAGCTTTCATCTTTCTATGGTGTCTGCTCTTTCTGAAAAAGGGGTCTTTCTTATTGATTTCCCTCAATATTAGTATGGATGTCAGGACTCATAATTTTGATTAATTTGTGGGATCTTCTGGTTTCAGATAATAAAATAATTGATCTCACTCATGGCTCTTTGCTGTTTTTGAAATTTCTGTTTTCCCTCCTCAAATTTTGGAACTACTAAAAAGATCATCTTTTTGCTACAAGTGTGCTGAAAATCTCAAAACTTTTGAGCTGATTTTTGTGAGGTGATTTTGGTTGAAGGTGGACAAGTGTATGGCTCGATTGCAAGAGCTTCAGTACACAGTTACAGGTGGTAATAAGGTTATTTCTGGTGTAACTCTCAGTCCTCGTAGCACCAGAGGCTATTTGAAGACTAGCCTCAGATGCAAACAAGAATCTTTGAGGTACAAGAATATACAACTACTTATTCAAATCTAGCTAATTTTTTGTTTTACAATTTAATGTCTTCTTAACTTGTGTAACACAATTTTCTGTACTAATTCAAAGGATCAGGAATGCTGCTTCCCGTAAATCTCCTCCACGGAAATTGCCCACAAATGCAGGTAATTTTCTGTTTTTGTACATTATTGACCTGTGTTTTTCCCTCCCTTGGTATTTAAGGCAAAATTTTGATGATTTTGTGACTTGGTGGGAGCAGGGGAATGGCGGCGAATGTCATTACCAGCAATGCTTCTGGGAGAGACAGTGGCTGAAATTAAACAGGCAAGTCAATTTGCTAGAGAAATAGTGGAAGCAGTAGGTTCCAAGGGGACAAAACCAGACCCTAAAACTCCACTCACAATCAGGAAAAAACAGAAGCCAAGCCCCGAAAACTCTGAGCTCCGATCACGTAGAAAGAGAGAGAAACAGGTAACCTTGCAAACAATGAGGTCCGAGTCCGATACACCATCGAAACAGCAACGAGCAAAATCGCGAATAAACTTCAAGGTTTCTCCAATGCAGAAGGGGGAATGTGAGAAAGAAGATTGCAAGTACATTGCGAATAGAGTGTCCCCAAGGAATAGGCCATGGGTGAAAAAGACTGTTCTTTTCCCAAACCCATTATTTCATTCATCACCAATTTCACAGCAGCAGAAACTCGCCAAAACAAAGTCTCCGGTGATTGCAAGAAATCGACAAACACCCCATAAGTTCTTGGTAAAGTCCCCGCTCAAGGCCTCAACACTTCAAGTGAAAAACAGAAGCCCTCAAAAACCTTTTGTATCTTCTCCTACCAGAGTAACAAGTTTGAGCACTAAGTTGTTGGTGAAGTCCCCGCCTAAAGCCTCTAAGTTTCAAGTGAAAATCAGGAGTCCTCCAAAATTTTCGACATCTCCTACTAGAGCAACAAGTTTGAGCAAGAGGTCTCCAAAGATGTCTACAGCTGCCAAATTGAGAAGGTCATTTTCTCCATCGAGATTGGCAAACAAGCTAGCTTCTTCACCCTCCAAATTGAGGTCATTTTCGCCATCAAGATTGGCAAGTAGGTTAGCTTCACCGTTAAAGAGCAAAAAATCTGTACAGAAGATTGACGGGATGAAGATGATGATGAGCGGACTCAAACAGAGACCACGAGCTTCAACCACATCAATGCAATTCTGAGTTCAAGGAATGTAAATGAGTGTGATCATTGTTTGTTCTTGAAATTTGAGGGATTCTTTAAAGTTGAAGATATTTTCTCAATGTCCTTGTTAAAATCGTACATCAGGAGTACTTTTCCATTTTTCGATCCCTTCTATTACTTTCAAGATTGTAAAATTTGATTTGTGAACTTATGAGGTACTTCCTCAATAATGTGAATAAGAATGGTTCTCTGACGGATGGAATTTACTTTCAGTGTATATTTTGGCTAGACTAGGAGTTTCAATCTATCATTTCATGAACCCTTAAAAAGTGAAATACATTCTCATAGGCTTAAGAAACTGGCATGATTTTGCGCAGAAGATAAAAGCTGTGGAAACCAAGGAAATAAAGATAGAAGCTACAGCTCCAAATTGAGAGAATGGCAATCCTGAAAAGGAGCTTATGCACCAAGTATGATGACTAATACTGTCTTCCTCCTCAAAAGCTTCGTATGAGTTTGGTACGCTAATGCTTACACAGGAAGTATATATTTTTATACAATAATCTATATCAAGAAAAGTATCATCCTTGGATGGATTGCGATTAGTGGAAAGGTCATTAATCTGGAAAAATCTTCAACTATTTAACTTGTAATAGGAAAAATTTAATCATCTAGTAAAATGAAAAAGAAACATTAGTTAGAACAGAGGAATATGTTAGTCTACTTGGGAAGAGTTTCATTTGAGATGACTTTACATAGTGGACCAGAGTCTGTGCTATGAGAAAGCTACATCAGAACTTCTGAGAGGAGAATCTGATGATGGTGTGATCTTATGAGGATTGTTCAAACTTAGAATGTGGGAGCGGGTTGCAGACAGGTAAAATATACTATTTCTCTTGCTATACAAAGCTGGTAGCTTTCACGAGAGAGTTCAACTTCTATACATTGATCGAACTTTTATACTTTCAGGTAAAGATAACTACAAGGTAGCCGTCCATAAAAAGTGGGATTAATAAACTACAAATAAAGCAGGTTATCTGTTACAATATTTTAAAATACCCTGACAGTGCAACTTTTTTATTGTAACAAAGTGAATTTTCCTAATCCAATATTCATCGATCTCATATCACCCAATATTCAGTCAGTTTCAGCTGCTTTGCCCCGACGCGTGGTATGTATCCCGGCATCTCATATGCTGCAGAGTGCATACCATTTTGTAAGGACTTTGGTAACATAGCATTAGGTTGACAGTCTGCGACTTAAATAACGATTCCCCTATGGTCCATATGATAACTTCAGCATTGCATAGCTTTTGAGGTGGTAGTCTCTGTTCAACTTGCAAGTTTTTCCACACAATTTCAAGATTTAGAACCAGTCTACATGTTTGGTTGAGGCCTTAGGTTGCTTCTTGGGCTTTTGGTAGCGATTGTTCTCAAATCGGGCTTTTACAATTAGAGAATATAGCAAGTCTGCTTCTGCTGATGTATCATAAGGTGTGCTCATGATGCTACAAAATAGAAAACCTCACAAAATTAATGATAAAAAGAAAAGAAGGACAGGAACAGCAGCAGTAGCAAAAAGAAGAAAAAAAAATTAAAATACAATTCTAACGGCTTGAAGCCACGAAGAGAACACTGTTATAACATACAGATGCTATCCCATGTAAACAAATCTATAAACTTCTTTTCTTTTTAGGATTCTTCTTGTTGGAAAGTTTGCGTTCTTCCATCTTTTACAAAAGCAGGATGAACATTGAGTCGAGCAGTAAAAATACCTGCCAAGTAGCTCTTCTAGAATTATTCTTTGAGAAGGTGTAACATAATGTATGCAACTCCTGGGGCATTGACCAACTGCAAGCTGGACTTGATAATCTTCACCATGTCCTGAATATATAGAGCTTTTGGTTCACTAGCTAGATAAACCCTTCTTTTAATCGGCCAAACAAAATACTATAGATAATTGTCTTTCACTATTTGCTAATTGCTATGTTTCCTTTTATTCACTAAAAAAACATTATTTTTCACCAGAAATCTTTTCCTGTTAGCAGGCTAATTTTCTGATGATAGTAACAAGGAGTTCAGTATCTAGTACTACTATAGACCTTGAGATGTAGCGCATGCAGTTCTCGTTAAAGTGGAAAAAGTGAACGCATGAGGCGCTTTCTCAACGCATGAAAACGGACAACCTGCATATATCGTGAAAGAAAGAGATCAGGAACTATGCAAATTCTACATCGTATAAACCTGACAGTAAAGTGAATGTGCTTCCAAAAGATAGCCTACAGGAAGAATCACTTGCAGGCTACAACAGATTTTTGAAGTTGTTACCTTTTCCAATGCAAACTGTCTCGTTAACAAAGAGATCAAATGCTTCACATTCTGGTTGATCAAATGGATCCAAGCATTCCCTGTGAAACTCAAACAGTGAATATGACCAAAAAAAATATTACCTGAAGGATACTACTCAACAACAACAACAACAACAACAAACTGAGTGTAATCCCATAAGTGGGGTCTGGGGAGGGTAGTGTGTATGCAGACCTTACCCCTACCTTATAAAGGTAGAGAGGCTGTTTCCGATAGACCCTGGCTCTGAAGGACCACTACTCCAAAAAAAGGAAAAGAAGAGCAGAGGAATGTTGCAGCAATTATCACAAGATTGGGTTGTGACTATTCAACTGAATGGAATCTCAAGATTTAGATTCAATAAGATTATAAACTTATAGCCCCAATTTACCTTTCAATGATCTCTGACTTGGTGAAGTTGGACAACATCTGCTTTCATTTCACAAGATAGAAGTCAGCTATCATTTGAGAAAGAAACTTTTTAAGCAACCAAAAGATAGCATCCTGATTTGGCATTTCCTCTATAAATCTAATAGGCCTTATATTATATTCTTAAGAATTATGAAACAGTTTGGACTTTGGAACCAAATCTTCTAACTTAGGACAGAGTATCCCTAAATTGCTTTCCATTAAACCAGTTTATTAAACCTGAAAAAACTGGTATTAGAGGACTATCTAGCTGCAGCTTTACTATCTTACTGCCTGCATATTACTCACTTGAAATCAGTATAAATTCTTGCTTATACTTCGGATTTTCCTGCTCTACAACTCAAAGCTAAGAAGGGGAGCCTTGGAGCAACGGACAAGAATCAAACACTGATACTTGCATTAAAGTAGGCTGCCTACGTCACACCCCCTTGGAGTGCCTATCCGGACCGTGTGTGAACCTGGGATGCTTCGTGCACCGTGCTGCCGTTTACAACTCAAAGCTAACTAGAATGTTGAGTAAAAAGCATGAGACCAAAATGGATGATTTGTTTGCTCTTAGGACAATTTACCTCATAGGCTTGAATGACTCGCCGAATCATTTTATCTGAACTATCCCCATCTCTCCTTACATCAGGATGAAATTTCTTAACCTGTGTCCACCAATTATTAAACCAAACAAAAATAATCAGCAATAGCAGTTCTAAAAGGTAAAAAGACAATTTTTTTTTTTCAGAAATCAAAAGAAAAAACAGGACAATAGACATGGATTCTTGAATGGCTTATCCAAAATTGCAAATTTTGTCGTACCTTATTACGGAAAGCGGATTTCAGCTCATTAGCAGAGCAGTTAGGAGCAACACCAAGAATATCATATGCCAAAGAAGCATTGAGGGGTTCTTCATTACCATAATTCTGACCATAACACTTCGCTTTCAAAGAAGAAGAAGAAAGGGAAGCAAAGTGGTTTATAGAAGAAGTTAAAGGAAAAGAAGAGGTGGATGGAAAAAAGTGGGAGTAAATATTCTCGGGAGTAGTAGGAAAGAAAGCTGAAGTTCCAATTACAGTATTTTTGTTGTATAGAGATGAGCAATATTCCATCTTTATTTCTTGATCATTTAAGGGAAAAAAGAAATTAAAAGGCAATATGGGGTTAAGTGTAAGAGATATTCTGTCTCCACATTGTAGCCATTCAAGTTGTCCTCCTCCGCCTGTGAGATTAGTGGTGAGATTTATTTCCAAAAAGTTCACGTCACTGTCATTTTTCTTTTTCTTTTTCTTGCTGCTTAAATAGGCAATTATGGATCAAATTGCACCGCTTTTAAATATCAAACTTGTATTTACTGTTAAATTGACTTATCTTCTTGTTTTCATGTATTAGTAATTAGGATAAATATTATTTAGCTTTCAGGGTGTGTTCGGTAAGAGGGAAATGAGAAAATACGTCATTTTTTCTCACATATTTTCATTACATAACAACAATTAGGTTCCTACTTTTTAATTTTATAACCCATATTTTAATTTACAATCAACTAACCCAAAAGTAATAGACTAAGATTCAACATCCAACTCTAATAGGTTCTCGAAATTACTATTTAATTTTTAAAAAAGATTGCTCAAACTTTAAAGTTAATTTTCGAATCAGTAACTGTGACTCAAATATTAGTTCAAGAAACCAAATTCATTTGGGTGGTAAAAATTAAATTTTTAACAAGCTTAAATGTGTGGTTTAAATTCCGAATTTGATTTTCTGTGAAATTTGGAGTGGTTGTTATTTAGATTTGTTAGAAATAGTATAAGAAGGTTGTACATAAAATTTGAAGCCATTTAGCAAAGATCTGGACTAGTTTTTAACAAGAATTGCAACTGAAGATCATGGAAGAAGTTCATCTACAGACGTTTGTATAAATGTGTATATACAATATTATACATAATTATAATGTGTTGGTCAGAACACTTTTTTTACACTCTCATATCATTTAGATCATTCACAATGTAATCTAACGTAATATCCGAAGTTAAACTACACTAATTAGTGTAAATCTTTTTTGAAGTCAATGCTTATTAAATCCATCACTAATTACAAAATCCATCACTAATTACAGTATCCGTTAGGATTTTGTCCTGAATTTTTAATCTATTAGGACTTTTTTTCTTGAAGGAACTAATAAATGTCTTTCATATGTCTTTTCCTTTTCTTGGAGGAGAAATTCTATACTTCTCCCAACAAAAAAAGTAGTCGTTAAAGAGTTTTGTTTAGGAGAGATTTTTCTCTCAATGGTTCTTATTTTTTTATACGACCAAACTCCATTATAATGTCTTATTCTTTAGTATATTTTCTTTTTTAACTGATTTATTATTTATCAGCTTTGCATTGTTAGCTTTCGCATACACCATGTTATTTCAATCCCAACAGTATCCTTGCCTGATAAACCTTTTAAAAGACCAAATTAAATCATTGGAGTGGTAGTACTTCATTTTTAGTTTTAGAGTATATAGTCGAAAATTAAATTGAAGACTGTACTACTGAGCTTATCTCACGCAATTGAATGTCACTAGAATCTAGATTATGATTATGAAAGTCTACTTGTAATTGAATTAGGCTAATGCAATGTCAATATAAGCAATGAACAACATGGTAAATTTAGAGAGTGACATCTTTGCAATTATTAATCCTCTATTATGGTATTCGCTCTATATAAACAGGAACCAAACAACTAAAAGCAATATACTTTAAACTTACCATCTTTATTACTTATAAGATTATCTCAAAATGGAATCACGGAAAGTTTTAGTTACAGTATTTCTTTTCTTTCTCCAATCCTTTGCTATACTTGTTCCAGCTGATGTTATTATACTGTATTTGTAAAATAATTTTGGAGAATATAAAATAACGTATAAACAGAAATGAAAATCAGAAACAGAATTTAATTCGAGCCCACTGAATTCACAGTATTTTCTTAAGGAACTTAATCCCCTCCTAGTACCCAAGGTTATGGATTATTTCCTCCCAGAATAGAACGAATTACACACTGGTATAGCGGTACTTCAAACTCCAGTGTAGCAAATCACACTTACTGTTACTTTCTTTGTAGTTAAAACAATGCAGAAGAAAGGAGGAGTATTCAGAAATTCGTATGGAAAATCTGAGAGAATGAGCTAATATATATAGCCAATATGTTGAGTTCAAATTGAAGAGGTGCAACTCCTCAGAAGGGCTATCATGACCGTTTATGCAAAACGGCCATAATATAAATGGCTATTTACGCAATAATAAAACGGGAATTCAAACCTTATTTTTCCGTTACAAAAACGAAAAACGGACGGGAAGGGAACTTAATTTTTCCGTTACAAAAAAACGGAACACAGACGTATTAATTTTCCGTTTGCAAAAACCGGATATTTAATAATATTACGTTAATATTTACTATTAACAAATAAATTTGGTCAAAAAAAATTAATCAATCAATCATTTATCTGAAGCCGAAGCCGAAGCCGAAGCCGAGCGAGCGACGACGAAGGTGCGAGGCTTGCCTTTTTCTTAACTCTTTAAGAGCTAGAAGAAGAGCAATTGTATATATACCCATCAAAAATCTTTTCCTCTTCCAATATGGGACAATGTCCCTTTGTCAAGAAGGAAAACTCAAATATTTCATTTTTCCTTCATTTCCCATTCACCCTCTTTTAAGCTTATTTTAGCTTAAAAACTCAAGAATCCCCCAAATGAATGCGGAATGACTATATCACGGAAATATGCATGAAAAACTGTGTGATTCGCAAGCAAGGATTAATCGCATCGTGATAAGTAGGTTTCCCTTTTAACTTTCCGTAGTGAACTTATGTCGGATATACTCGGTCAATCGGTAGATTTGATATCTTTGAACCGTCGAACTTTAGTGTATACCTAGACAACCATAAGTCACATAATCAACTCTTAACCGTCTTTGGTTCTCATTGTTGTGTTCGTTTCAGCCATGAACACCGCCTGGTTTCATAAGTGCGTAGAGAACTGGCCTTACAAAATTCTCCTTGAAGCGGCTAACGCTTCACATTTACATAGGTGATTCCTAAACGTGTCATCCCGTAGATATACTATTTGATATACCCCGTATCAAATTTAAAAATCATGAAAAAGCCTTAATGCTTTATCCTTGGTACTGAACATTGTCTCATCACGAGAATTGACCAAAATTTAGTTGACAATGTTGAACCGTCATTAATGACTTTGTTTGATCTCCTTCAACCTAGATCTTGGGATCTCCAGTCTTCTAGGTAGAGTTACCGCCACAATGACTTGTTCTCGGCCATAGTCTCATTCCCCTCGATAATTTCTCAACTACCTCTCTAGTTAGGCCTTTTGTAAGTGGATGTGATACATTATCACTTGACTTTACGTAGTTAATCGTGAATATTCCTCTAGAGAGTAATTGCCTAACGGTTTTATGTCTTCATCGTATATGATGAGATTTACCGTTATACATAATGCTCCCAGCCCTTCCAATTGCTGCTTGACTATCGCAATGTATGCATATTGGTGCCAACGTTTTGGGCTAAAATGGAAAGTCTTTCAAGAAATTCCGGAGCCATTCAGCTTCTTCACCGGCTTTATCTAAGGCTATGAACTCAGCCTCCATTGTAGAGCGGGCAATACAAGTTTGTTTGGACGACTTCTAAAATACCGCTCCTCCACCAACAGTGAATACATATCCACTTGTGGACTTAGAATCAGTTGAATCGGTGATCCAATTTGCATCACAGTATCCTTCAATCACCGCATGATAATCACTGTAGTGCAAAGCAAAGTCCTGGGTGTGTTCTAAATATCCCAAAACTCGTTTCATTGCCATCCAATGAGATTGACCTGGATTGCTTGTGTATCGACTCAATTTACTTATTGCACAAGCTATATCTGGTCGTGTACAATTCATGATATACATTAAGCATCCAACACATGAGCATAATTCAATTGTGATATCCTTTGGCCTTTGTTCTTTGCTAATGCAAGATTCACGTCAATTGGAGTCTTTGCAACTTTAAACCCTAAGTGCTTGAATTTTCCAAGTACTGTCTTAATATAATGAGATTGTGACAATGCCAGACCTTGAGGAGTCTTATGGATCTTAATCCCCAGAATTAAATCAGCAACTCCCAAGTCCTTCATATCAAACTTGCTAGTAAGCATATGATTAGCTGCATTTATGTTGGCAATGTCATTACTCACTATGTGATTTGGAACATATTTAATGCACACACATTTATCACATTCATTGATCTTAAAACCATTTGACAATATTGTTTGGTCAAATTTTGCATGCCATTGTTTGGGTGCTTGTTTTAGTCCGTAAAGGGACTTAACAAGTCTACATACCTTCTTATCTTTACCTGGAACCACAAACCCTTCAGGTTGTTCCATGTAGATTTCTTCCTCCAAATCTCCATTTAAGAAGGCCGTCTTAACTTCCATTTGATGAATTTCAAGACCATAAACTGCAGCCAATGTTACTAACATTCATATGGATGTAATTCTTGTAACTGGAGAATATGTATTAGAATAATCAAGACCTTCTTATTGTCTATACCCCTTGACCACAAGTCTTGCCTTATATTTATCAACAGTGTCATTATCTTTCATTTTCCTCTTAAAAATCCATTTAGAACCCAACGGTTTATTTCCAGGAGGAAGATCAACCAATTCCCATGTATGGTTGTTCAATATGGATTCTATTTCACTATTGACTGCCTATTTCCAAAATAATGATTCCGAAGAAGACATAGCTTCTTTAAATGTTCGAGGCTCATTTTCCAATAAGAAAGTCACAAAATCTGGTCCAAATGAAGTAGACGTTCTTTGACGATTACTACATCTTGGATCCTCCTGATTAAATGTACTTACTTTTGTTTCTTCCCGAGGTCGTTTAGATCCTTCACCAATCGACTCACATTCCTTTTTATACAGATATATATTTTTAAAGAACTCAACATTATCTGATTCTATAACCGTATTATTATGAATGTCGGGATTTTCTGATTTATGAACTAGGAATCGATATGCTTTACTATTGGTCGCACATTCTATGAAAACACAATCAATGGGTTTTCGGCCCTATTTTTACCCTTTTGGGTTTAGGAACTTGCACTTTTGCCAAACACTCCCACACTTTCAAATAATTCAAGTTGGGCTTCCTTCCTTTCCATTTTTT